GGGTAATTGGACAGTCGCTTGGAGAAGGCGATAAAGACAACATTGGAGATACCTCCAAGTTGCTAGGAAAAGACAAGAAAGTCGTAGGAGTCTGAACGGACGTAGAGGGCAATTGCAAAAGTTGAGGCTCCAACCGGCGATTGGTTGGAGACTCAAATTTATATTTGCCTAGCAAATCGAAACTCGAGTCAAAATTACTCGAGAGCTGCTTAGCCACATTATTTAATTTTAAGAATTGACTTCTCACAGAATTATACATTCTGGAGAAATCAATTTGCTTGTCGATGCATTCTGGGCACGACCAACGCAAGCCACCGCAGCCCTTCTTGGCAATAGCAGCGATCTTGTCGCAATCACGCCCAGTGAGACCTGCACATTTAGCATGCATCATATTCTCACACAGCCAGCAATTAACAAATTGCGGCAGTGCAGAATCGTCAGCCTGCTTGAACGTGCACGGTTTCTTACAGCACGACATAATTATTAAATGCACAAGCAACTTGCGAGAGCGCAGAGCAAAACGAAACGAAAACGGTGCACAAGTAAACACTCAAAAAACAATTATTCGTACACAAACAAATTGTTTGGTGCGAAAAGCAATAGAAAGAAATTTGTCAGAGCGCGATGCACAAGCAGAAAGTATGCAGCGAACACACGCACAAACAAGTGTATGCACAGGGTATATCAAATATATATGTATTTGGAAATATTTCAAAGAAACCGCCGACGATTTTTTTTTTTTTAACACCAACGTATCGCAGAACGCCTTTTAAATTCCACGTCTGCTCAGCTCGCGTTTCGCACTCGAACTGAAGCTGACTCAGTTCCAAAGCCTATGCTCAGGCCTTGCTGGAGGCTCTTGCTGATAAGCGACAGTCTCAGCAGCTAAGAGCTGCTCTCCCGCAGATGCTCTTTAAATGTGAAGGGCGACAACAACTGTTAGCAAGAGAAAGCTACAGAAATTTATAAAAACTATAATTATATTTTATTATTACAATAAAGTAGACAAGAACTAGGAATCAGACATGCTGCCCATTCACAACAAGTACCACAAATTACATGTAACAAAAGTAATCGAATTACGGCCTAAGATCTACATTTCATACTGCCTATTCCTAACGTGCGCCTGTATGCCCATGTCCAGATCTAAAGAGCGCGCTACCTTCTGCCTCAGACTGCGGCTTTGGGCGTTCCGCCGTTCCAGTCGTACCAGCAGCAGAACCACCAGCTGCAATTGACTCGGAGCTCTCAGCTGCGTTCTTTTCGGCGTCTAGGTTCTTCAATTGCTGCTGCCACATATCCGCATAGATGCCGTCGTCTAGTTGCAGTAGCTGCTCGTGCTTGCCACGCTCAACAATGCTGCCTTCCTTCAGTACCAATATCTCATCTGCGTGTATAATAGTGGACAGCCGATGCGCGACAATAATCGTTGTGCGATTGGCACAGACGCGTGCCAGTGCCGCTTGTATGTTGCGTTCTGTATGCGTGTCCAACGCTGAGGTAGCCTCATCCAGCAGGACAATAATGGGAGCTTTCAGAAGAGTTCGCGCAATGGCCACACGTTGCTTTTCGCCTCCACTTAAACGTAATCCTCGCTCGCCCACTTTGGTCTCATATCTTTCCGGAAAGCCCAAGATTCTTTCATGTATATCCGCTGAGCGCGCAGCTTCATAAACTGCATCAGGACTTGCTCCGATCTTAGCATATTCAATGTTGTAGTAAATGGTGTTGTTGAAGAGTACCGTGTCCTGAGGAACAACACCTGAAAAAAGGAAGATGGCATTTCATTTTTGCATAGAGATATAAATGTTATAAATGTTTTTTGCTTACCAATCGCCTTTCGCAGACTCTCCTGTTTGACCAACTTGATGTTCTGTCCATCTATCGATATGGAACCCGTTTGCACATCGTAGAAACGGAACAGCAGTCGCATAATAGTACTCTTGCCAGCCCCAGAGGGTCCCACAATGGCCACTGTCTTGCCCGCAGGTACCGTAAAGCTTATATTGCGCAACACACACTTTTCCGGCGAATAGCCAAACGTAACATTAGAAAACTCTATGCCACCGCCAGCTGTTAGCAGCGGTGCACAGCCAGGCGCATCAACGATTTCTTCATCCTCACGCAGTAGATCAAACATATTTTCCATATCCACAAAATTCTTTTGTATAGCGCGGTAATAGGTGCCAAACCAGTTCAGTGGCATATACAAATCCATGAGGTACGTAGAGAAAAGCACAAAGTCACCCACTGTCAGGGTCTGATGATGCACCACCAAATACACGCACAACATCGAACCAGCCAACAGGCCCAGGCAGAGTATTATATTTTGAGCGGTGTTGAGCATATTAAGCGTGAGCATGGAGAGGAATTCCTCCTTTTGATACTTCAATATTGCCTCCCTGTAACAGTCTACCTCGTAACTTTCGGCACCATAATATTTAACTGTCTCAAAGTTCAGCAACGAGTCCACACTTCGAGCACGCTGTTCATTGTCTGCCAGATTCATTCGCCTTTGGTACTGAGTGCGCCATTCCGTTATGGCAATTGTGGATGCTATTGAGTAGACAGTGTTAGAATTAGCAATAATTTCAAGTTCGATCTTACCTACCTATATACAAAAACATGGTTAAGAACACAATTAAGCCAAACCACCAGTTGAAGGCATAAATGAAAAACACGACAGCCACAATCAGATCGAGTATGGTAGGCGTTATGGAGAATACAATATAGTTAAGTAAATTGTTAATTGAATCTGTGCCGCGATCCATTATACGTAGCACCTCGCCCGTCTTGCGCTGCAGATGCCATCTTAAGGATAGCTGATGCAAATGCCGGAACAGATCAATCTCAATCTCGCGCGTTGTGTACTGCTGTACGCGAATCCAAAGGAAAGTACGCAGATTATTGAACAAGCCCATGCCGCCAGTGCCACCGCCCTGGAGAAACGATAGAGCCACATAAATAAGCACAAAGTCCCAGCGAAATTCGACGGGCTCGATGGTCAGGCTGTCAACTGAAGGGAGAGAGATTAGAGATTATTCATGCCACATGTGATAACTGGAAACATGACCTACCCAACAGCTTGCGATAAATGGGCAGAAACAGTTTGATAACGCGGCCGGCGACAAGCAACAATATGCACACAACCACTGCGCATTGCAGCATCACGTCCTTTTTTGGCCACAGATATGGAAATAGGGTGCGCAGTTTGCGCCAGCCGTTGCGGAATGCAGAGCCGGTTGGTATACTACCAGCTGAATCGCTCGATGAGTCGTTCTCTAGACGATGGTGCGGATTAAAGGGTGCCATAATGCCGGGCGCTTTCAGACCCAACACAAAGATGAGGAGCGAGCACAGGAAGCGGGTAACAAACATGCCCATCTCAATATCATCTTTGTTACTGTGGAGTAATATATGGATTAGATTAAGCATTAAATACAACAGGTACGAGGCAAACGAACTTCTTTAAATGGAACCACCAGTCCTCGTGGTCCAAATTGATAATTGCAAGCGCTTCATTAATCAATGCCAAAGTCCAGAAGAGCAGCAAAATAAGGCCGTGGCCACGAGTCGGCACTGATGGCAGCTGATAATGACGCTCCTTGACTATGAGGCATATACAAAATGGATACGAAAAACACACAACGCATGTGTAAAATATCTGCAATGGAAAGTGAAATGAAAAATGCTATTAAATAATGATTATGTCAATACTCACCATATAGCCATAAACTGCGCCGTCAGGATAGATGCGAGCATTCAGGAAAAAACGCAGCAGCGCCAGCACCGGCACAAAGAGGAGAAGAAACAATTGCAGTGCATACAGACGGGACTTGGTTATCTGAGTGGGATCCGTGGGTGTAGCATATTTGCGGTACATGAGCAGTTGTATGCCACCAAAGAGAAGAAGGAAGCCGCCACAGACGGCTGGACCCACTGTGTCCATAAAACAGTGCGAAATTCCATGCTTAGTCCAAATCTCGTTGAACGTCACGTTCGGCGGACAGTACAACATTTTGTGTACCCTGCGGTTATTCAGATGTTATTATTATTTTAATAAATTAGGTATACAGCTCGATTGAGACCTTAAACTACTCGTGATAATTGTACAAAAGGCGTGCGCAAAAAGTGATAATTATAATACGATAAGCGCGTCGGGTGCAGACAATGATAAAAAAAAAACTGAAAATAAATTTTGTGACATAGGAAAGTGAGTGACTACTTGTATTTCGACAAAAAGCTGTTTTATTTGTCCGTGCTATTCAAGCACATATTATATGATATTATTGTGAAAATATATAATTCTGCGCATCGTCTAATTTTAATGCGCATCTGTTTTCCGGCTAGTTTATATTTCACAATAACATGTCATAGATGAAAATCACCGAAATTATCAGTAAAAAAAAAGTACAACAATTTTGTGGGCAGACTACCAAAATTGTATCCACAAAGTTCAAAACGAAAGTTGCAAATCATTCATTGATAATTTGCATTGTTAATTATGCAATTACATTTTCACTGTATTTTAATATCACTCGTGAAAACTGTGAGTTACATGCTAAAATTAACAATTTCGTTACCTTTACTTACGCTGCTGCGTATAATTTGATTATTATTAATATAGTAGTCCGGTTTAAGCAATTGTTCAATGTACATTAAGCAGCTGGGCTTCTATTAACATGTTTTTACTCAAAATGGTACTGCTACTCAAAATGGCACTGTTTTACTCAATTTGGCACTGTTAAGAGTTAGATATCGGAAAATAATCGGTGGTAAGCGCGGGCTGGGTTTTAAAAAAATCGTTTTTCTTTTTTCTCATTTGGGTTGTAGTTTTACATTTACTTAAAGCATTTTATATGTATATTTGATTTTGTATTAGCATACAATTGTAGACTTAAAAAAATGATCATATTCACATTTAAACTAGGTTATCGTAGACATCTTCATAATATCTTTTTAGATACAACTATACACAAATTAATTGGTTGTAAATAAATATTTTTTATTTCTTTAGAGAAACCGTTTTTAATACTTTACAATTACATTTATAATTAATTATATTAATAGTAATCAAGATCCGTAATTTTTGAACTAAAAGGAAATCAGTTTAAATGATTTGTTTTTTGTTTGTTTTATTTTGTTTTTTCTTCTGAGCGTCTAGAACGAATCTATTGAAGTAGAAATTAAATTTGAACAATTCGTTAAAAACTGTAAGCTTTATGGAACTTGCATTGTAGTTTTAAAGAATTCACTTATTACATTTAAAGCTTTTTACACTACACGCGCAATATATTAAGCATTACATTTTCTAATTTGAGTTTTTATTATTTATTTTTTTGTAGTACCTTATAGTGTGGGTTTCGTGAGTTACAGTACAATGTATACAGTATTTAGTTTAAGGACCGTCCAATAAAAGTTGAGAATATATATTAAGTGTGCTTAAATGGCGGGCATAGTTCGTGGTTAAAAATGTACACGTTTAAATTGGCTATCAACTAAATTGTTCAACTGGGATTTAACTTATATATCACAAAGAAGTACACTTAATATGCATCATTACGAGTAGGTACTAGAGATGGGCCATTGGGCCGGATAGTTTGCCGACGACGGGGCAATGAGTCTCTATGCTTACAGCTACGAGTTGATTTTAGCCAGGAGTGGCTGCGTCACGGCGCCACTAGTGGCACCACGAGCCGTCACCAGTGGCCTTGGACACTCTTCTGCCAAAGAGAGGTCATGTCCGTGAACATGGCTATTCGAGACAGTTGGTGGCTTGCAGAGAAGCTGCTTATAGTTCTTGACTAGATAGCCATACGGATCATCACTGCTTAGATTTGGAATGTTTTGATTACTGCAGCTGCTACCATTGCGCTCCAGATTGAGCGGCGTCGAGGCGGGCAGCGGTGGTGTCATGTTGCTAAGCAGCGGCGTTTCGTCGCAATCGGCAAACTTAATCCGCTGTCCGCTGCCCGTACTGCCAGTTTCCGGCGTGTCGGAGGCATCGCTGCGGCTGCTCTTCAACAATGTTGAGATCGTGGGGGATGGCTTTAGGCGGCTCCTAGCCTGCGGCGCAGGCTGCAGAATGCCAATCAGATTGGAATTGGAGTTGGAGTGTGCATGTTGGCCGTGGTTACTGTGGTGATTCTTCAGCGCACCGCTCAGTGGTAGACGAAAATTGGCCAGCTCCCAGCAATCGGTTTCAGCTGCATCCGAGCTGGTTCTACCTGCCTCCATGCTGCGGAGCGAACGACTGCTAAAGATATCACATGGCTGCTGCTGCTGCTGCTGCTGTTGCTGTTGTTGTTGTTCAGCAGCCAAATAGTAATTGTTGGGCTCAGTCTTTTGATTCGGATTATGCTCAAAGCAGCTGCCATTTAGCTTGGGCGAACTGGAGCTAATCTTGCGCTTAACCCGAAGATCGGGTGAGGCTTCCTTCTCAGCAGCGGGCAGAGCTATCGTTGGCACTGCCGCAGCCAATGTACCCATAACGCCCAGCTCTGAGTATTGTTTGTAGAAGGTATGCGTCTGACGCTGCGGTTGCTTAAGCGACGAGCGTCTCGTTAGCATCAGCTTGTTGGCAGATATGAGTGCATCCGGCTTGGGCACCTCGCCCTCTAGCCAATATGTCAACATTTCACCCTTACCCTTCATAGGCACCAGGCCACGTCGCGTCGTCAGAAAGCTGCCAAACTCGTCCAGCGCCAACTTGGTCGTTTCGCTTATGTGTATTTTCAGTGCCTCACCATTGGACTCCATGCGGGAGGCAGTGTTCACAGTGTCGCCAAACAGACAATAACGCGGCATCTTCTGGCCCACAACACCGGCTACACATGGGCCCGTGTGCAGCCCGATCCGCAACTTCAATCGATCGTCTGGTCTGTGGTGTATCCTAAAGTTATGCACCGCCTCGAGCAGTGCCAGGGCCAGGCGCGCAATTTCACGAGCATGGTAGTTCTCGTTGCGTATGGGCAGACCGGATACCACCATGTAGGCATCGCCAATGGTTTCCACTTTGTACACATCAAAGTTCTCCACAATCGAGTCGAAACAGGTATAGAGATCGTTAAGGAACTGAACTACTTGCATGGGTGTGCTCTCTGCCGAAATAGCCGTGAAGCCGACAATGTCGCTGAAGTAGATGGTCACCTGGTCAAAGGTCTCGGCCACCACTGGCTGGCCACTAATCAATTGAGCAGCAACGCTCTGTGGCAGCAATTGATAAAGTAGCTTCTCGCACTTTTTCTTTTCCTCCAGATAGTCCTGAGTTCGCTCCTCGACAAGTTCCTCCAGGTTGTTGGCATACATTTCCATGCGTTTCAGCAGGTTGTCCACAATATTCCCAGTCTCGTTGTCCCTGTGGGCGCAAATCAAAATTTAATTATTTTTAGTTAATTTGGCCATAAATCTTTTTATATCATACGTGGCACGTATAAAATAAATTCTTATAAAGATCTTTGAAAATGAGTTTTGAGCCGATCCGACCGTAAACAAAATAACTTTCATACAACCATTTTTAGCTAATTTGCCAATGGTGAAAATTCTCAAATCGCTTTTATGCAAATCGGACACAAATTAAGGCTACTCCAACATATTTTCAAAGGGGTACAACAAATGTATACAAGGATATTAAATCTTGGGCGTACCGAAGATATCCTTTCTTTATTGTTTTGTAGTATATTTAAAGATTTCGATTCATTCAAACATTTAAGTAGACAGAATTAAGCTCGGTTCAGAGATGTTCTAAGGGAACTGAACTACCGATAATTTATAAGGGACTTTCGTCATGATTAAAAATATGACCTAAGATTATACGTGGTTCAAGATAGTCTTACTTGTTGAACTTCCTTATCATAGATTTGAGCGTATTGAAGTCGGGCCGCTCCAGCGGATCCTCGGCCCAGCAGCGTCTTATGATGCCAATAACGTCCGCCTTGGTATCGCCGCACGGTTCCAGCTCTGGACGGAAGGGCTTATTCAGTTGCGGTTGGTAGTTCTTAACCAGTTCAACGATCTCTGGAAGAGGTACATATATAGACCGCTCTGCATTATAATTCAATCAAATTTTTATACAAATTGTAAATTGTAAGTTATTTCTTTGTGTTTCAGTTCAAGGTCTAAACCGAATATAATGCCAAATAGGTCACTGAAACCGCACACTAACACACGCACAAACACACATATACATACATTTCAATCTTAATATGTACTCGAAGACACAACATTTGGCACTTATATGCCCCTATATGATGGCCAGGGATACGGTCGCACAATATAATGACAGACCTGGTGTCTGGCGCCACGATGCTAGGAATTGTCTGCTCGTGGCCTTCTATTGCGAGCGTGAGGTCCAGGCGGAAGTTAAGATATTCAACCTGTTAATGCGCAGTGCTAGGAAAACTGCAAGCATTGACTTTGAGAAGGATCGTCCAAGAGGTTAGTCAATACGTGACTTTCAGGACTTTCAAGGATTATGCCTAAGCTCCTCTTTAGAGTCCACAGATGCTGCGGTTATATTTGGAGATTGTGATTGCGAAAAGATGCTTTGCGATGGGGGTTCATGCAAATGCGGCTGGGATAAGTCACGCATCGACTGGCTGTGGGAATTGGAGCAGCGGCAACAGTCCTGGCTGAATGAGAGCCAGAGATCCATGCCTCCAATGGCTCAAAGACTGAAAAGGCCGATAAAAGAGCCTCAAAAGAATATTGGCTGCTGGAAATGGCTGCGTCTTAATTGTGGCTGTGTCTCAGATACCGAAAGCTTTGATTTGCCCTATCGCAGTAGCACTTGTTTATGAGTTGTTGTTGATATCATTTTGTGTAATTTTCCACCAAAATAAAAACATAAAACCTTGTGTCAATTCATTTGCTTTTCAAATCGCTAACAACTAATAAGCCTCATGAAAATCAAATGAAATATTTTTAGAAATATTTACAAAACATAAAAAATGATTTAGGTTCCAACAAAATTATCTCGAATTTTTCAAACCGAAATATTCTTTAGCCACATTCGAATTCGGACTCCTAAATCTTGCAAAACTTGTTGTTTATATTTGGAAGAGTTTAAAAATTCAAATTATAAGAAATATTTGTTTTATATTTTGAATAAATTTAGACTTGAGTGAAATTTTGCTGAAATACTTTAGAATAAAATAAATGTGTTCTGCTTATTCCTGTTCACAGTACTTTAAAGAGGGTGAAGTTATGCAAGTCATCTATGTAAGACGGGCCCTGCTTCATAATTCTATTTTTGAACTTATGAAGTAAGGAAGAAGAATTTAATCAGATACATCTATCAATTCACAGCAGTTCGATAGTTCACTTAATTCCTCTAAAAGCTTATTAAGAGAATTGGGATGGGGATTACTGTTATTTAATGATGCGTGTTTAAAACAGTTAGGCCGTCACGTAAAAACTCGGGACTTATATCTAAGGGTTTTGTTACTGGACTCACTTTGGGACAAAAAGCTGAGAGTTATTCTAGAAAACTTAATAAAGTCAGTATGGGAGTACGAAACTTCTTTTTAAATCTGCAGTTTGTTTCTCGAATTTGTTTTTAAATTTTTTTAGATGAAGAGACAAAGATTGACAATTTCTATGCGAATAGCCAGTTGTTGCATACCTTGAGGGGTCTTCTCACGGGCACACTTGCCCAGATAGAAGGGGCCCTGCCGTGTGGTTATCTCATGCACTATGATCCCAAATGAATAAACATCGCCCTTCTGTGTGCCTTCGGGCGCACGTTGATTTTCAAGCCGTAACAGTTCAGGAGCGGTCCATAGGCGCTCTGCAGGTGGAAATGATTACGTATGATTGATGTACATATATATATTGGACGCCAGCTGTGGGCCAGCCCACTTACTTTTCCAGTAGGCATGGCTATTGCAGTTGTCAATATCGCTCTCGACATCGTGATGGGTGCGCCGCAGGCTATGCAGCCCAAAGTCGGTGATCTTGAGCACAAAACGTGAGTCCACCACGCAATTGGAGGACTTGAGATTGCCGTGGGAGCGTATATCGGAGCTGTGTAGAAACTGCATGCCCCGCACAATATCGTGCATCAGCGATAGCTTAAACATCCAGTCCAGCTGAAACTGCTCGTTCTCCAGTATATCCTGCAGCGAACCCTTGGGACAGTATTCGGTAAGCAAAAAACTGCGACGCTGATCCAGGCAGGCGCCGTAGAACTTGACCAAGTGATCATGCTGCAAATCCTTCATGCGCTTCAATTCCAGCATTAGACTGCGCGACAGTATACCCTGAACATTTTCCAGCTCTATAGGCTTGATGGCCACCTTACTTTTCCTGTACATGCCCACGGGTATAAAGATCTGACGATCACCATTTATAGAGCCCATGTCCTCCGACATGAGCGTCAGCTGGGAGCTCTGCTTGACCAGCGAATGAAAGGAACCGCGCATGCCATGATCTGCAGCATCTCGAAACATAACATCCTCCAATGAAACCTTCCAGCTCATCGAATTGATCTCGGCCTCGGCAATATAATGTCGATAGCCGAAGAAGAAGCATACGGCCATAACGATTACCATTATGCCAAGAATGATCGAAAGAATGGCATAGCCAGGCAGAGCTAGAAAAGATGAGAGAATTGGGAATTATTTTTTTTTTTTATTATTATTATTATTATTTTTTTTTTTAAGTACAAAAACTAATTTACTTAAGATCAAATATTTTTACTTACAATTGTCCGGGCATAGCGAGCCATCATAACCACAGATTGGACGATCGGGTGGCGCCTGTTCACGACCTCCAGCCCAGTGTATTTCCTTTTCTGATGCAAACTCCAGACGATTGTGCAGGAAATGTGCGACAATCTCAAATCTGCCGGTGCTGGGATTCATGTCCAGCAAAGAATATGCCGAGATGCGATCTCCATTCGAGTCGATGGTCACGTTGCCAGTAATGCCAGTGAAGCTGCGATTCCACATGCGTCGCACCATATCGGTGCCATTGATGGGTCTTGTGAGCATGCTGGGATCCTCACGGATGCTATCGTTGAGAGCGTTCGCGTAGAGGAGCACGCCATCAAAGAAAGAGGTTACGAATGCCGAAATTGGTTCATTCTCGCTGAACGTGTAATTGTATTTTGCCGAGGCGATGTCTTTGATCTGTAAATGGAGTTCATAGCACATCAATCACAGCCAGCAGTAGTTCCACTTAAGTGCGTATTCTAGCCCTGGCTATCTGCGTAATTCTGTTGCCTTAATTGCTTTGGCACCCGTGAAATTGAATTACAACTACGCCGACAACAAATCGCAATGGCAAAGGCAACGCCAACTACTTTATCGACGAGCATTTGCGAGAATCCATCGCACATTTCCAAGTTGTGCGCTGGGAGTCCATCAGCTTGTCGTCGAAGAGCCCCAAGGCGGCTTAGCCAGAATGGGCGAAGGAATTTTTGCCAAGGCCCTCCTACCCAACCATTTTCATAGCCGTTGGCATTGGAACAGGGAAATGCAACTGAAACCTTAATCGGAAATATTCTCAAGCGGAGCGTGCCGCATAAATCAAGGACATGAGCAAACGCCAAGCCGCAGCCATGATCCCAAACTACAAAAACTTTCCATTTTGTGCAGATGTGCCACAATTTCAATGCACGCCTGATATTTAATTTATTAAATAGATATGCATTATACCTATGCTACTGCTTATACTGATCCGGAATATATATGCTTATAAGGCTTCTTTTATGTGTTACACATTTCGTGACAAATGTCAAATACCCACAATGAGAGTATGACATGACCAAAGCACATTAAGGAAACACGTGTTATTGTGGCCTGCTGAGTCGGTTAAGGTGCTGCTCAAAAGTTAGCCAACAAATGCTTTTAGAGGCTACACTTGGATCCATCTTTCCACACTCTGTAGTCGGAAATTGTTTAAGAGGGTATAATGTTGAAGATGTTTCTATATATGTTTATTTTTATTTAAGCCCATCTGACTTATCAATCGAGCTAGTTTGAGTTGGTAGTTCCCTAATTTTCATATGCCGATCCCAATTATTTCTTTATAAATAGTTCCTATACAGTTAAATGCTAGTTAAAAAAAAAGCTAGTTAAATGCAGGGCGACTTCTAAGTCAAGTGAATGAAATATTCTTGCTTGTTTGTTGGCACTGTTGCCCTTGTAATTTCCTTGTGCACCTACAGAAATATGTTTACAAATCCACAGACTGCTAAAAACATACGTACGTAGTTTGCTAGTATGAAAATGGCAAGTGAGCTGGCGCTGAGCACGTGCACTGGCATAGAGTATGCATGAAGCTCAAAGCAAAAAAAATTGCCAAGAAAATAATAAAAATATAAACAAGGAGGAAGAATAGTCTCGGCATGCCGAAGATTAAACACCCTTTCAGACTTATGGATTAGAAGTGTTTTGATGCAATCGTTTTATTTCCGACTGTCGCTTTAGGAGTTATACGAGTCATTATGAGAAAACGGAGAGTTATCCAAAAATTATTCGACTGATAAGAGTTAATGATATAGAAGTAACACTTTACTAACAATTTTCTTTCTTTTGTAAGCATGCTGGCAGTCCAGAAAATTATAGACCCTTTGCAGGGGTACAAAGATCTAAAGTAATTAGCCGCAAAGAAGAATGTAAAAGCCTCCATACGCTGGCAATTCAGTTCCAAAGCCAATGCAAAGCCCCCCTTCTGCCGCGAGACTCACCTCATTAGATACCTTTGTGTAGGCGTCGTCATTGGGCTGCTTCGGCGTGACGGTCAACATGGCTGTGTAGGCCTTCTTGGCGCGTTCATTGTTGTATTCGGTGTCGTTCTTATCATACCAGGGCAGCGACGTCATATATGGCACTCTGGAATAGGGAAACGTTCGGACAAAGTTATAGATGCATACGATGAGGATACTTGTGCTTGTGTGTGTGATTGTGTTAATGTACCTAATTCGAAAGTCTTATCAGTTTGGTATTACAATGTGCCCCGCAGTTCGCACAGTCGCCTTATCAATGACTTTGCGTTTAGTCTTAGCTCTTGTCTGATATGCGTCATAAATTATTTATTAATAGAAATCTAAATTGTAAAACGAAATACGATTTCTATCTCTGTCAGTGTCGATGTAATTGCACCTCCCCACAGGCAGTGTCAATAAACGATATATAGATGCTGCGGTCGAACCCATTGAAAATGCCTAAAAAAAAGGGTATATTGTTTTTTGGTAAATATATGTAAAGGGCAGACCTGTCTGTATGTCTGTCTTTCTATCTGTCTGTATACTTAGGAAGCTATTAAGCCAAGAGATTTTAATTTCCTAATACATAGTCTCATGTTTTATAAACACAACAAGTTGGTCTTCTTCTCTTTTCCTCGATATCTCCCTCAATTTCTATAATATCCAATGTTAATAAACCTCGTTTTTTGCACACCTTGGAGATTAGAAGCGGTACAACGCCTAGATTTGGTATGTATAGCATCAATAGCAACTGACTTCGAAGGAAATTAAAAATTTGTTCGGCACTGAGCTCAAAGTAGAAATGGACATGTGGTTTACAACATGAAGAGTACGTTCTATAAAGTCAGGATTCAGTAAGAAGAATATTATCTTGTTTAGCTTTCGATTCAAACCCAGACGATAGGTCGATTGTTGTACAAAAAAAAGTAAATAAAACACGACTTTTCCGCTAGAAATCATCAGAAAAAAAGGTGAAATAAGAGAGTGATAGTGCCATAGATTTTAAGTTAGAAAAAGATTATAAAATTAAACCAGTTTCCAGTATTCGTACGCTTAAATATTTTATAATTACTCTGTTCTCAATCGTATCAGGCAGGGCTAAGTCGGTTAAAAGTTAAAAAGTTTGTTTCGTGTACGTGTTGGGCCGTACCGCTAAAACCTGGCCCATCTCTAATTTAAGGGTATTTGCCAATCGGGCACTACCGAAGTTTGGTGTTTGTTACAGAGTGTAAGTGCATGTACTTGTTATCAGTTAGAGTTTTGTTTGTGTTACCAACCCAATGTCAGCTGCTTTGCGCCAAGTCAGCGAGTGACACTTCTAGCAAATCGATTATGGATGGTAAACAGATTACTTTGCTCCGGGCGAAATGGCTGAACACAAATTGTGCAGCTGATTAAATTCAGAGTGTGTAAGATTTATATTAGATAATAAAGCAGATCGTATTCATCGTCTTCTAAGGCTGTTACTAGTAAACATTGTTGGTGCAGTGACTTATGAACTTTGACTTGAGCAAATATTCAATATTTCGATTTGGCTCGATCCGTAAAGGCAAATGGCCAAACAAGTTATTAACTGAGTGATTTTAATTTCCGTAAATTCAATTGTCTAGCTTCAATTGAGCAAACTAATATACCCTTTAACTATGTGTAGAGAGTATAGAAAGTAACTCCTAGTTATTGAATGAATTCCTGAACCTTAAATGCAAAACAACAATTTATCGACTGTGGGCAACCACCAATTTAATAGAGTGTTAGGCAGCGCGTGCAATATGGAATTTATATCAGGAAATGCATTAGTTAATGCAATGGTGCATAGATCGATTTCTTATTCATTCGCACACTGATTACAAGTTCACAGAGGTTATGCGATTAGCCTGCTTTTTCAAGTAGTTAACGCAAATAATAACCGAGTATTCGCTCATGTATTATTTGATTATTCGCTCACGTATCGAAAGAGAATCGGCCCCAACCATCTGCCCCGTTTGCCTCACCCATTTACTGCCGCGTAGTATATGTTTGAATACATATATATTATATATTTATTCATTTTTTAATGTACAACCCACCTCGAACAAATAGGTATAAAGTGTAGTACGTATTTTTAATGGTGTAGGTGTAGGAGTAACAGCCAGATGAATTTAGCAAGCCTGACCCTAAATTGTCATTGATTAGAAAAGGAATTAAAAGCAGCTGCTTTGTTTCCTGACATTACTTATGAGCTTCCATCATTATTAATCGAATGATAATATATTTAAGGTTAACCCCATTTAAATATTCTGCACAGAACAAATTTAATGTCTTAATAAAATACAAGAAAGATATATTCTAATCCTTTTTAAATTTATTTAATTTTTGAAAAACATTTTCAAAAGAGTAAAGATTGAAATGGTCTTAATCGCTATAAGGTCTGTTCAGCGAGTCGATCTAACTAGTAAGTCTCTATCTGACTGGTACGAAAAAATTAAATTCTGTAGATATCAATATAATTTTTACAATTTTGAGATACTATTAACGATAAACTAATAAAATAGGTTTGAGTCTTATTGGCGAAGGCATTTCGCATTTGGCTGGAGCTGCGGCCAGAAGAAGCATCAAAACTGTTTAAAGTGAGCAACTTCGCAAAGATAGCCTTGCAAAGAGGAGCTCAGCTGTAGGGAAGAGGAAGCAATGACTCAGCTAATCTAAGGTATCATAGTAGCTCGACAGCACCTATGTATCTGGAAGCGTGGCGTGGGAGGAGGGAGCGGATGGTTTTGGCTAAGCATATGTGTTGACGAATTTTATTTATTTTTATACAGGTCTTCATTGTTTGCTATCAGAGTTAATAATGGTCAAGTCAGACATGTGTCGAAAATCGGAATTTCCTCGTTTTATAAATAGACATTAATTGCTGAATGGTCACTGGCCACAGCGTCTTGGAAGCGCTCAAAGCTATTTTTGTTGGTCATTTTCAAAATTCATAATAACCTTGGCTAATGTGTATTATGCGCACTTTGCAAAGAATATTCAAAGTGCGCGTGTTTGGCGAAGTGAAAGGCCACAAACTGTAGTACTGTGTATAAATGATCAGCTTGTGTGATTGTTGACGTTATTATAATAATTATTATTATTTCTGTTTTTTTTTCTGCCCCACTTGGCCAGTCATATATATATATATATATTTATTTCATGCTCGCACTTGTACTTACCGCGAAAATAATTCAATATTGATGAATACGTATTCGCCGCTATCGATCATATTCAACTCCTCGGCTGTCAGCATAATTTGACGTATGGACTGCGGATCGGCGCACATAATAACAACTGCAAGACAAAAAAATATTAAACAAAATATAAAGAAAGGGAAAATCAATAAAAAACAAAAATGGGCACAACAATTGCAAATTTCAGTTAAGAGTTTCAATAAGCCATCGCTTGTCATCAAGACTGTATTTATTCAATTGACATTTGCACATTTCTAAAAATGTAATTATGTATGTAATGTAATTAATGTAAATATATTTGTAATATAGGTTTTTTTTGTTTTTATTTTCCCTTTTTTTTCAGTTGCTTTTGACGTCAGCAGCTAATTTGTATTTAGTTTGATGTAACTATATAAATTATAAGCTTGGAAATTGAGTCTTGCTTAAAATGTTGAAAACTGGATGACACGGGCCTCTAGAAATTATGTTCCTATAATTAATGGATTTTACGAAAAATGTGAAGCTTTGCTCAAAGAACTTTTTATTCAGATCTTAGAAATTAGCAACAACAGTTTTCACTTATTTATATAGATAAATAAATGAGTTTTCTAATCACGATATTTTTTTACTTAGCAATTTCTCAACAATGAGATGTAAATCCATTTGAAAACAGTGACAGGGCTTGCCAATAGGCATGCAACTTGAAATTGATATCGAAATTCATACAAGCGAATAATACATTTATTTGCAATCCGCATATATTTATGGTTATTTTGTAATTGATTTAATTAAAGCTGAATGCCACAGAGAATGCCATCAATGCCTTACAATATGGCACTAATGCACACATGCCACAAATTGCAAACAAACATTTTTCTTAAATATTTACATTCGAAATTTACGCATGTTTATTCTTTAACTTAACAGCTAGTTTAGCTTGTTCACGCCATGGAACAGAAAATAACAAATTAGTTAATTAATTGTGTTCAGTTATCAGATCATTTGCGGGCACAAATATTGCATCAGTCTGTTTATGCTAATATTTAATTGATAATTAAATAATAACAAACAATCGTGTTTGACAATTTGTACTACACGCAATTAGCTACACCACATGAAATTGCATTTTCCTCCTACTGTCTGAGGATTAGTTTAATTATTTAAGAGCCAGTCAATTTGGCAAGAGCCAGACGAAAAGCTCAGAACAGTAAATTATGCACATTTGCACGTTCTTTCTATACCCTATAAACAACAGAAAAGCTTTGAAAGGCTATTTAAAATATATGTACATTTGTGAACTGATAAGACTTATTTATATTAAATTATCATTATATTATCATCTCTAAGCATCGATTTTATTTATAATTACTATGTAATAAACTATTTACAAAACTCGACATTATAGAGCTAGAATGTGTTTATTATTTAAAAAAAAAGAAGAGATCTCCATAAAAAGTTGTTCCCAAAAAGTGTGTTAAGGTCTTTTATAAACAGAAGCCATTTTCTAAAGTCCAAATTTCCAAGAAAGGTTAAAAAATAATAAGTTCGTGTTATTATATATTTATAAATCTTTAATTTCTAAATACTTATTTCCTAGACTCAGGAAATTTTGGCACGGGGTATTTCCATTGCATTTCTTTCTATTTATCAATGTCAAGTGCAAAGCAAGGCTTGCACTTGATTTAATTATAAGTACAAAGAAGCCAAAAAGTAAATTCGGATGCAATGTAGAACATGATTCCAAGTATAAACTGATTATTGTAGTGGCTGATGTAAATTGAATGCCCGGCCTTGCTCGGTATTGAGTCATGGAGATCTACATACTACTTGTGTGTATTTTATTTTATAATTGTGAAGCTGGAAGCCCAATTGTGTTCTGATCGCCGGCTTGTCATAAATTATATCTTATATATATTAATAAAAAGTCATTAATAAACATAACAAATTAGGCAATTAAAATGTCAATAAGTGTTTATGTCTATCCTCTGTAATTTATTTGATATGAACCGCTTTTATTGTACGAATATTTAATTATTAATTATCACATCATCAATAAAAATCAACGTTTATTGTACTATATACATATATGCTCTGTACCTATTTATTTTCGACTCGGCTCGAAAAAGTTTAAAACGTAGGTCAAATATACATGAGTATTAGCTGAGCCTTAAGCAAATGATATGATGAAATGAATCACATATGTATTATCCGGTTCCTTATAATATTGTTAAAACAAATTCTTTGTGTCTCATATCATTTGATTCAAAATACTTTGAATAACAAGTACTGAGGCAATTGACAAGTCAATGGAGTCTCGCAGACTCTTTTATGATTTCTGATATTGTTTTGAAGTATATAAATAATTTATACGCAAAAATAAAATAATTATTAATGTAGAATATCAGCCGAATGCCCTTGAACTAATGTGACATTTTTTTAGCTACTTTCAAGGTTCGAATCTATTCTTTGTCGGCTTCTTAATGAGCTGAACTCTCCAATTCGAGTTAAGAATAAATTGGTATTTATTTTTTATATTTTGGTATTGCTCACAGAGCCATAATTAGGTTTTAATGTGCACATTATTTCTGTTGGTATTGATTTAACGATATTTGCAGATGTGCCATTTGCATACTAATAAAGAGTATTTAAAATGTGTGACACACATTTGATCTAGGCAGAGGGTATTCATGTTTAGCCTTATATTTGCTTAATATAAGCTTTTGTATTCATTCAATATACACATAAAGGGACAAGCACATATTGACACAGCTGCCGATATTTATAGACGTTAAATGGTTCAAAATACACAATACGTTTTGTTTGGGGCCTACGCCCGGCTCTACAATCAATAATACCCATAGAGTATGTTGGAGTGGCACCAACCAGTTATTGTTATTTCGAGATTAATTTTCAAATATATTTTTGTACCCTGAACCATGTTTGCCTTTACTCATTTGGAATGGATAGTAGGAAGCATCCTCATTAAGTATTCAATTTTTTTTTTGAGACTTTCTTCCATTCTCAGGAGGATATTAGAACGCTTGCTAAAGTATCTCCTAACTTTGCTTGTTCTGCATAATTTGTATGAGAAAACTTGCAGCTAGCACCTGCAACATGTGTGAAGATATACAACCCACAAAGGTCACTTACTTCTTGTCCGCATGGCCACATTCCGGAGCAGTCGTATGATATATGCCTTGGTCCAATGCGCAGTATCGAAGCCGAGTTGATAAACCGACTCCTTCTCGATGGTGGCATGTATTGCCGCCAGGCACAGGAAACACACCGAATTGCCCTTTATTTTAGCATTCTCGTTCTGATAGATGAGGGCTGTGCGTGTCCAATTGTAGGTGCTTAAAATGGCGCGAACCATGTTGCCCAGATTGTTGACCTGGGCGCCTTTAAGCCGGGTCAAAGTTGAGTAGCTCTCCGTCTTTTTACTAAACTCTCCGGCATTGCCTCCGGTCGTCAGTAACGGAATCTGCCAGACATCGGCATAACGGGAGATTGGCGCCAGCACGTACTCGCAAGGCAGACCAAAGATTGCGTTCATCTCCGGCCACTGTGTATAGATCTCAAAGAAGCCCAACGGTCCATACGTAGAGGAACAAAATGTGTCACGTGAGATCAGTGTAATATCAATTTGAACGCCGCCAACGAAACCCAAGCGTTGCACATGCGCAATGCCCAACTCCAGCACGGGCAGCACCTTGGGCATGATGCAGTCGTTCTTGTTGTCCGACTCCACTGACGGCAGCAATGCCACAAACACCAACTGACGACGCACCACACGTCCGCCATGATGATGATGATGATGATGACTGCCCTGGCTGTCAGTGCTGGGAAACTGCTGCACCAGCTGCGTTCGCTGCGATTTGTGTGCATTCCTCGTGTCGGGCACTTTAAAGCTGTGCACATCCGTTATGGTACTGATGCTGGTCACGCTCGCAACGCTGTCCACATCGTAGAACCAGGCATACGCCGACGCTGGTCCGGCTCTCTGACTGGGAACCAGCAGCAGGAGCAGCAACAGCAGCAGCAGCTCTAGAAATTGTTGTCGTTCTTGCGGCTGTCGCACAATGTTGCTGGACATTCTGCGACAGCTCGTCTTAGTTGAGGCTCTTGTCGATGGGTTCGATTATCGTTGCTGCCAGTTAATTAACAATTATTTTTATTTATTTTTAATTTTTAAGTGCACATCGTCGTGCTATTGTTTTCGTACTCGAGCGTTTGGCAAGCGTTACATTAAAGGCGATCTCATTGTTATTGACGTTTGATTTAAAATTGCATTTTCGTTTCGGTTTTTAGATATTCTTGAAAATCTCAGCGACTGCCTGCAACAACAATTGGGCAATTAACGCAAAATTCTTAATTATTTATTATTTGTGTAATTGTGTTTAATTGTGATTTTATTCAGCTCTTAAGCCTTCACGTGTGCGCACTTAAATTTGATCTTTGCTTACACATTATCTCTGTTGTTTATTATTAATATTATTTTTCACGTTATTTTGCACATTTTAGTATAAAAACTTTTGACTGAATAATTTATTAACACTGGCCGTATGTATTTCAGAATTTTTATTGCAATTGCATTTATTTTGTATTCCGTTATTTATATTTTTAAGTAAATGTATAGAGAATATAACAGCAATTGCTAAAGAAAGTTCTCACGAGAAAAAACAAAAAAAACAAAAATTAAAATTTAAGCCAAACATATATTCAGCTAAAGGTCGCTGGTGAGCTGCACACTCATCTGCCTTATGCATTTTCAAAGGTTGAAAATAGTTTATTATTTTTCAATTACAATTTTAACAATTATTTGAGATCGATTGTTGAATATCCCGAAGATAAATTAATAAATAAACAGTTTATATTTGAGTAATAAATTGATTGCCAATAGAAATTTTAGCCGAGACGAAATCCGTTTAAAAAGAAAAGCACAAAAAAGTTGCTCTGTTTTGCATTTTTGCTGAACTTTTTTTTTTTTTTTTAAATACAGACATGAAATTTACGAGTTGTGAAATAAGAGACACAATTGGGCTAAAAATAAACCAGCTACGGCGTTTACAATTCTATTGACCTTCACTTTTATTTTTGTTGTTTTTTGTTTAATAATACACGTTGGAGAATATTTGCATTAAATACTGGCACGTATTTAACCGGCTTACAAATTTAATAAGCGCATGGAAGATAAATATAAAAATGTACCCACGTCAAAAACGTATAGATCTTTGGAGAGTTGCCTGTCATATGTCAGAGAATCGTGGAATCTAATCGAAATTGGTTACAAATTAAACGGCAATTACCAAAGCAAATAATTGCCAGCCGGAGATTTACAAAATGATACGAAAGAATTGAGCCACAAATCACACCTGAGCGCGAAAGGTGTTGGCAATTCAAGAGTTAACTGACAAACTGTTCCCTCATTTCGGACAATATGCTGCCTATGATAATCTACAGCTAACTCACAATAAGCTGCTGCTAAAAATAGCCACAACTAATATTCACGGTAAATATAAAAAACGTGTGTGAAGCGTATATCTATCAAAAAATTTATTCATTGGCATATATAATTTAAATTGGTATACCTTCTCTTAATTACTCTTTGAGTGTAACTTGCCAGGACCAAGATACAAAACTTTGTATGTAGTTTTTCCTTGAGTGTACACAAATTCAGAATTTATGCCTTTTTTGCTACAAGCCGCCATTTCCCACCAAAACTTAAATTGAAAACTATCTACGGTTTGGTATCTGCGCCCATTTGGGTGCCATATTTGGGCTCTGAGAAATACGAGTCTGAATATATCTTATATAAATACACAGAGCTTGCCTTATCCATTACTCATTGTCAATTGCTGACCAGCTACCAATTGAAAGCCCACATATTTCTATTTTTAACAATAATATGGGTCAAATCACTTCGTTCCCAAACTTTGGACCCATGCAGGAAAAATACAGGTATCAAAATCTTGTTGCCAATCTTGTTGCCTTATTTTTGCATGTCTTTTATTTTTGTATATTCATTTTCGAATGTTCAATTTCCTATGGTCGTGGCTTTTTTAATTTTTGTATTTATTTATTTGGTTTTCTTTTTGTTTTTTTTTTTTTTTTTTTTTTGGAACAAAGCAGATCTTAAGAGCTTACACGTGCCGTAGATTACCAGATCGATCGCCGGGCAGCCGCACAGCGGGCGGAAAGCTGCCCGTGGTCAGCGGTCATTAGTGTTGGCTTGTTTGTGTGCCGTTAGAGCTGCGGACAGTTATTGACAGCTGAGCTGCGTTTTAATTGTTGTTCGCGCCATGATCATGAATTATAAGATTCTCACCCAGCGATCCATCATGACTCAAGTGTGCAGATGAAGCCCATCTATGCAGATGCATATATGTATATCTTTGACTTCGACCAGCCCCTAAATTTGTTCGCCAAATCGGACGCCAAAATACGCACAGCAAATGGACTCTGTCGAGTCTCGAATTGTTTATGAATATTTTTAAAGTTTTGTTTGTCTGTGCGTTTCTTAAGTAATTTGAGCGGTATTCTATGGCCATTCAGGCTCTTTTTTTTGTTTTTTTTTGTTTTTGAGCATTCCCCAGCCTTTACGACTGTTCTTATTTGTTGGCTAATGTTTTTGTTTGGCTTGTTGCTGCACTTTTTTGATCTAATTTTTGCTGTCGTGCGAATATTATTGAGTGCCGTAGCAAAAGTTCGTTGAAACGGTCACATAAAAAAACTAAAATAAATGTGCCACTAATTGTGGCTACTTATACAAAATTTGTTGTCGTCTAGCAAAACTTTTGCTTTAACTAAGTTGAAACTAGAAGTGCAGCCAGTTCAAATACAAAGCTGCTCAAATTCCTACCACGAATCTTTGCATCGAAAACTTCTGCTGGGTTTGAACTAGCGACTCTCCTTTTGTTGGGCCGACGCTTAAGCACTACAGCCTCGCAGGCTAATGGCGTTCGCAAAGAGTTGGTTCTCAATATCACTTAAATCACTTACGAGCGAAAAGGAAGTATCAGTAGAAATTTTGAGCATTCTAGCTCTCTTTTATGAACAACGATCTGTAGTTCAATGACCACATTATTTACGCAATTGTCGCTATTACTATCTGAGAGCATATCAAGTTTGTAGGAATGGATTGAAATTCTGAGTTAACAAAAAATCAGTTCGACTGCCTCAATAAAATCGCTGGCGTTTAATTGTCGACTCTAATTGCTTTATTTATTTATGAGTGGGACGTCTAATGTATTCGGCTTGTTCCAAATTTTTTGTAATGTAAACATAATCGGCAAAAAGCAAAAAAATAAATATGTGGTATTGGGAAAATCTTCAAGAAAAATGTTATGGTATATATTATGAATTTGGGAACCCAGTTAATGGCACTTCTTATAGAAATTTAATGTATCACTCATATATGTGAGAGTTATTTCAATTAAAATAAATCTACTAACAAAGCACACTCGAAATATGCAAGTACTTTTAAAATGTTTAAGAATTGTAAAGATAGATTTATTTAATTATTAATGATAATATCGTGGCATATACTTTTCCTGAGTTACATTAGCCGAGTTGCACGCAATAATCAAGTCCGAACAATACATCAGAGCAATTAGTAATTATATACACTATGCAAGCATTTTGCTGAGCATGAAAAACATAAATAAAATGATTTAACAGTCTCAAGTACGACGCGTCTGAGAGACAAAGCGGCGTCGCTTTTGTGATTTGGGCCAGAATTTATAGCTTGAAGCTTTCACAATTGCTGCAACTGTGCGATGAAAAGCAGCAACAATTAATTATAAATCAATTAGTTTGCAATATACGCACATATATGTATAAGGAAACTAGAAGCACACGAAACGAAATTCCAATGAAAAAGTACATTTTTGCTAGCAAACTAGTTTTGAGGCAGCAAAAAATTAGTTTTAGCATTTGTTTGGCTAATCGAACGGGATTTGGAAAATTCTTTTTGGTTGCACAAAATGAATGTGGACGCAATAGAATCTAGAGTTTGATTGCATTTGGCTCAATGAAAAATGAAAAGTTTTGAATATGACATTCAATGCTTTCTTTAATTTAAACTGAATAATTAATCGAATGGCCTTTAGCCATAAAAGAACCCGAATTCCCCTTTAACGAATGAATAAAGAAAAAAGGAAAAAAAAAAACAGAAAACATTTCATAATATCGACTATTATCTGTTTTTGTTGATTTTAAACAGAACCGAAAAGATGCAAATAATATTTTGTATTAGGCGTTAATATTGCCCAATCAATTGATCAAGATACATCTATAAGTAACTGGTATATATATGTATTTCTAATCAATTCCATTGAGTTATCATTCAAAGGTTGCCATCGTTAAGTGTTAATTGCTGCCAAATCAGAGTGGGTTAGTCTTTGATTTCTTAGAATTGTGCAGCTTCAGATAAAAATAAGAACATCTATATTATATCTTTGAGAAGATAAAAATACATGTTTACTTGTTCATACAGATTAATGTCAAGTACGTACGCACAGATAAGGAATCGAATGCGAACGCACTTGACATTTTTTCTCTCATTTTATTTCAATTTCACTTTTTAGTCGCCGCAATTTGTTGGCTATTTATAAAGTTCACTTCACAAAGTCTCTGTAACGGACTTTAACAATTGTTCGTATTCGATTTGTATTATATTTAATTTTACTCTGCTCTAAGCATCCAAATTTATGTTTTTTTTAAATTTTTTTTTTGTATGTTAAGTTACATTCACCGCGACGGTTTCCGTATCCCAATTGAATGCGTTTTGAAATTATTTTATTTATTTTCAAAGTGTAAAAAACGCGCGTTTTGTTTGCCGTTGCGTTGAGTCTCGCGTCGAAAACCGAACTAAACGCACGAACCCTCTCCCAGACCCGGTCAGACGCATCGACGCGTCGCCAACGCCAACGCCAACGCCAACGCCGTCGCCGACGCGACGCAGCTGGACGCCGAGGAGAATGCGAACGAAATCGTATGTAAAAACGTAAACGATACCGTAAACGTAAACGCAACTGCAGCAGCGGCGGCGACAGCAGCGGTAACGCGAGCGTCAAAAGCGCAGCTGACACGATCCGTTTTGAATGGAAAGCAAACCGCATAATGCAAAACGTAACAAAATGAACGCTTTCAACAAAAGCGCGCACACAAACAAAAACTCTCATTCTTTAACGAACGCACATACAGTCCGATGCTTTGATGAACAGTATTAGTGTTTAGAATTCACAACAAGTTAAAGCAGCGAAACAGTGGCAAGCCTGGACTTGATAGCAAAGTGTGCTAATGATTTTTTTTGAAATAGTAGGTAATCAAATAACCGGCATTTTGCTATGCTTGTTCATTGTTTGATGCTGTTTGTGGGTTATAATATACAAATAAAAAATAAAAAATGCCTACAATAGCCTTGAGCCAGCCAGCCTAATATTTATTAGCTTTTTCGCTAATTTAATCTATTAGAACCTAATATTTGTGAATGAATTATAATTATTTTATGTATATAAACATGTTTTCAATATATACAATTTTTAATTATTTTGTATATAAAATATCTTTAAATAAAACCACATGCATGACCTTTATTTAATTTATATGACATTATTATCACTGCCAAAACGAAAAATTCAATGCCACCCCCTTAGAATATTTCAAGCGAACACAACAAAAGAAAATCATTCAACTTGGCGAACTTGGGACATAATTTATTCTTGACAGCAGTTTTTGTTGTCGTTGCACTTGTTACCTTATCTGCACATTGTGGAGTTTCAATTTGGATACGTGCGTGATGCAGTTCATTTGCTTAGATTACTCAAAGCACACACAGATACACACAGGCACTCATGCACATATCATACATTCACAGCATGCCACGCCGAAACAGTTGTAACTGAGTGCGGGCTTCATGAGTGTAGGGCAGAATTTAATTCTGTGCTCTGCCCCTGTAGAGCGTATTATAATTTTGTCACGAGATGTGTAGCGCATGCATGAAGATGGATCTGCTCTCAAAGAGTACATATATTTATATTCATGATCTGTATCGACAGTCGAGCTGATATGGCCATGTCCTTCGGTCCGTCAGAACGCACCATTATATCATATAGCTATCAGAAGAATGATCGGACCAAAATTAAATTTTTGTTTTTTATGATATCTTGAAAACGAATCACATTAACAAGTTTCTTTTAAGTGAACAAAACCATGGTATATCTTATTAATTTTTTAAAGATATTTCGTCTTTCAATATCTTTGCAAATGTGTTTCACATCGGACTGCTGTACGACTGAACTCACAAGGGTATTTGACCATCGGCGTGCCAAAGATAGATGGTTTTCCTTTGTCATTCTTGTTTTTATTATTATTTTAGACTGCCGCAGGGCACAGTTGAACTTAATAAATCATATGCTTGAGACGAAGGCGGCTTACGGGCAAGGACATAGCTATTGAGTCTTAACTGGCACGTGCAATTGGTGTCAATGTGTGTGTGTGTGTGTGTGGCTGTGTGTGTGTGTGTGTGTGCAAGCGTGTTATGACACACCTGTTGCCCATCACATTTTGGCAACTCATCTGGTGCTGGTTCCGTATTTCATTTAACTTTTTGTACCTGGATTTCGGTAATTGTTTGCCATCAATTCGCGCTGCGCTGGCAGCATATGCATTTTTTGTTGTTATGCTGCGCACCCACACACATAACTGCACACAAACGCACTTTGGTACGCTGGGTTTTTTATTGTATGGATTGCGTTTGACTTCGTGTGCACTTGGGACTGGGACCCAGGCGAATGTGATATAAATTAGTTTCTTGCTCCTGTCTCTTGGCAGCTCGCATAAATTCAATGGCAATTTCCAATTTCCTGACATGAAACCAAATCAATCGGCTACGCACAATGCCTGGCAATACTGTTGCGAATAGCAGATACATAGATAGGATTGCTTCCAGCAAAGAACTGTTTTCAATCAAATGGCCAAGGATATCCGGCTGTATACGGCAGATGGAAGAATCCATGCAAAATGTCAGCTTGGGCTCTTTTGATAGAACCAGGTAGTATGGCTTTACGTATATGTTCGCGTGGTATTAATTTAATATAAATACATTTCCTTTAGAAATACAATTATTGCATTTTATTCCATTAAATAATAATAAATCATCGCAAGCCATTGAGCACTAGCACTGTGTAAAACGGTTTTGGCTTTTTTATATGCAAGCTTACAAAATGTGTAATACAAATAACAATACGTAAATAATAATATTAATAATAATAATAATAATAATAATAATAATAATAATAATAATATTAATAATAATAATAATAATAATAATAATAATAATAATAATAATAATAATAATAATAATAATAATAATAATAATAATAATAATAATAATAATAATAATAATAATAATAATCATAATTCATAGAGATATCTGACTTATTAATAGACAGATAATAGACTGATAAGCACAGCAAATCCAGATGTTCGACTAGAAATCGAACTTATTTTAGAATATCCTCACAATATGCCACAAGTGTCGATGCGGCTGGGTTTGGTTTATGAAGCTGGTTTCTTTGTTTTTCGCCAATTTTTAATATTTTAATTAAAACAATTCAATTATTTAAGTTTAAGAGCTGAGTCTCACTCATAAGTATTTTATTTGGAACCAGACGATTTTTGAAGAATCGCCAGTTTTCGAATTTCGGTTAAACTATATTTTAGTTTTTTTTTTTTAAGGTTTGGAATTGGAATACTGAGTTTGAACCGGTTCGTAGCCCACATAAAAATGGGCATTTAAAAGAATTTTGTATCTGTAAAGAACCATTGCCGGATCGATGAGAAAGCTTTAAGTTAACAAATTTTAAAATGTTCTTTTAATTTTATTCAAACAATATTCAGCTCACAGGAATTTGAATGTTGAGGAACTGTTAAAATAGTGACAATAAGCTGTTAAGCTTCTTTATAATCTGGCAACATTGTATCAGCACAGTACTCATTCTGTAATTGAGTACTTGTTCAGATTTTTGTACTCATGCTTTGAAGTTTCCATTAAACATTTAACCGAACCACTACGTGTGTTTTCTTTATGTGCATCTTAGGCACACTAGAAATTTCCCAACATTGGTTATGGGCCCAGGTCTCGTTGTTTTCGGTTAAATAAGTACACAAAGTGTCTATGGTTTTGAAAGCTTCCTTTTGTTAAATTTTTAAAAAGTTTATTTCGTGCGAAGAATAACGTGGTGAAATTGTCAAAATGAACATGTCGCATCAAATAGAAAAACTTGGTGAGGACAATTATGACGTATGGCATATGGCCATGAAAAGTGTCTTGGTGGTGGCGGACCTATGGAATGTTGTGTGTGGAAAATATGTTAAGCCAGAAGGAAATGGTGAGGATATCGAAAAATGGGTTAGTGTCGACCAAAAAGCGATGGCTTACATAATTTTAAATCTGAAGCCAACACAGTTGATGCATATCAAGTCATGCCCAACATCTGCAGCTGTATGGAAAAAACTAAAGGAAATTCATGTCTCAGTTGGACCGATTAGGAAGGTCCAATTATATCAAAAATTAATACGTTTCAATATGCAGCAGGGTGACGATGTAGTCGCATATGTCAATTCATTTGTTGAGACAATTGAAAAGTTGGCAGAATTAGACATCAAACTCAATGACGAGTTGCAGGTCATCATGTTTTTGAGCAGTCTACCAGACACATGGGAAAATTTTGTAATAGCGATTGAGACACGCGATGAGCTGCCCAAATTCGAAGTCGTCAAGGTTAAAATGTTAGAAGAGGCCACGCGAAAGCAAGAAAGAGCTAGCAGAGACGGCATAGGGACACCAGAAGCAGTGTATACACACAAACATAATGGACCGCGGGACAACAACAGTGTCGAAAGCAAAGGCAGAAAGAATAGCAGTAAGCAGCCATTCCGAGGCAAATGTTTTAATTGCGAAAAAGAAGGGCATCGAGCGAGCGATTGCCGAAATAAAAAGAAGGATGATAAAAAGAGCCAAAAGGACGAAAAGTCTCTATGCTTAATGCACACGTGTGTCAAGGAGAAGCAAAAGAGTTTTTGGTGCGTTGACAGTGGTGCAACATCGCACATGTGCTGCGACCGCAGCATGTTCCTTACGTATGCTGATAAAAAGACGTCGATAATGTTGGCCGCAAATAAGTTTATCGATTCACCCGGCAGTGGCAGTGTTGAGTTGCACTGCAATAGAATAAAATTAAAGCTGCAAAATGTTTTATATGTCCCTGACTTAAGCATGAATTTTTTATCAGTAAGTGCTGCAGCAAAGTTTGAGAATTCTACCATATTTGAAGGGAAAATTGCGCTGATAAAAGACAAAGAAGGCAACGAGATAATAAGGGCAAGACACGAAAATGGTTTGTATGTTTACAAACATAGTCTTGATCAGGTTCATATGCTAAATAGTTCTGATTCATCTTCCATAAAATGGCACAATAGATTTGGCCACCTGAATTTTAAGGATTTGAAATTGCTTAATGATAAGCAACTGGTGCGTGGTATGAAAGTTGAAAATGTACAATTAGAAATAAATTGCGATACATGTAATAAAGCAAAAATTTGTGCATTGCCATTCCCACAGAAAGCGAATCGTGTCTCAAAGCAAGTACTGGACTTAGTACATACAGACGTATGTGGTCCGATGAATGTTAAGTCGCTTGCAGGCAATCGATATTTCGTAACTTTTATTGATGACTACTCACGCAAGATATTTGTTTACCTTATGCACTCAAAAAGCCAAGTTTTTGAAAAGTTTAAAATGTTTAAAACTTTTGTAGAATGCCAAACAGGAAATAAAATAAAGGCTGTGCGCAGCGA